TATCAGAAGAGAGGCTAACATTACTACCCTTTAGGTAAGAAGGTAAATTCTCATAATTCATTTCATCGTCGCTAATATCTACCGGTAGGAACACCTCATTCTCGTCTCTAGAATGATCACCATCTTCAATCTTCATCCCCTCAAATTTCTTTTTTATGACTTGATCAACAATCCAAAACTGTACGATATTCATAATTAGGGGAAAAATCAGCATCACGAATACCACTTGAAGTTTTACGTCATGTAGAGTCCACCCTAAAAACCATTCACCAACATCAAATAAAAATGGACAAAGTCGAAATATGGCAACTACCACCATTTTCATCGTAAACAAACAAAAAACGAAAGCAGTAGTCTGTCGTAGCCACCATTTTACTTTAGGTGGCTGACCATAATCTCCACTTTTCATGCCTAAAACAACAAATGACATTAATAAACATCGATGATGTGATAATGTTCAAGAAATGAAGGTGCTATGTACACATTTGAATAATTACCTTGAATTCCAACAGAAATCACTAGAGCTTGTACCATCTTAAGCAAAAGGAACAACACGAAAACACCTAATGTACAATCTACTAGTATGTTAAGAAAATACCTAAAAAATCAATTAATATGAATAAAGAATTATAGCTCGAATAAGAGGTTATGCAAGGAAGATTCCAATAGAAATGTACTTACCATACACAAGGATTTGAGTCGACCCCCTCCTTCGAAAGGCCTGGTATATATGAGGCGGCTATGTTTAAGCCATGTATTATTATAGCCCCAATGATCTGTTTGCTGACATCGTAAGCCCTTTTTAGTGGGAAAAAAGTAAAAAGAGTTGATAGTTGCAGAAGCAGAAGACGATCGTTGTAAACTATGAATTGTTCGAACGTGTGTTACCATATAGATAACGGCCTCTGTGGCCGTTCTCTATGTCTCTTATAGATAAGTGTGGAAAACGCAATGGTACCCAGAAGGATTTGTATAAAGATTGCGAATTTATCTACCAAAACACAATTTCGTTGTTGTTCCATATTTTGGAACAATCTTTGCACACTTGGTGTGAAAGTAAAAAGTGAATTGAGCGGGAAACTCGTAAATACGTAAAACTTTCTGATGTGTTATGTCTTAAACAGGTAATTTTTTATGCATGTATTTTGATCTGCCAATGATTACGCATAAAAAAAATGCTTCGTTCCTTCCGGCAACCCAATTCACGTACAAACAGAAATCATTTTTCTTCAATTTTAACGTCTTCAACTTTTACTCAGCATTCTAACTTCTCTTCTGATTCACCTCCGGGTTTTGGACGTGGACGTGGACGTGGTGGGGATGGAACAGTTTCATTGGATGGAAAAATCTTTTCGTTAAGTGAAAAGCTTTGGGCAAAGGAAGTAGAGAAAAGTAAAAGTCAGAGACCCCGGGAAAGTTCACCAAAAAATGTAAATTTTGACCCCGCTCAATTCGATGACGCACTTGAGGATCGAAAGCATTTTCAAAGTATATTCGAACCAATCAAGGAACCGTACAGACAGGAGTTGAGGGAAAGACAGCGACAAGGAAGAGAACAACGTCATCTATCAAATATACGACAAAAGGGTAACGTATTGAATTCATCATATGCAGGTGACCGGTCTAGAAATGCCAAAGACAATTTCAAAAGGCGAGCTCAAGTTGAACAGTCCAAAAAACAGCAGTTGAAGGATTTTGTCGCAGAAGATATCGATTGGAATGATTTTACAACTTCTCAAATCAACAGTTTGAACGATCTTCCGAAGAACCAGAAAGACGAAGAAGCTGCGCGGATAATAGAGTCTCGGGAAGGTGATTATAGGAGATATTTACCTGTATCCAATTATACAAGGACGATCGTGCATCAGAGTGAAGGCACAGAAGAAACAATCATGAGTCTGAAAAATCCAAATGATCAAATCTTGGATCAAATGGATGTTGTTAAAATCATGATTGGACAAAATCCTTCCTACTCGTTATCAAACAAACTATCATTCTACAAAACATTGACCGAAACTCTGAAACCTTTAGAGAGAAAAAAGGTGACCACGTGATTAAGTTAGATATACTCAAAAGAATGATAGTCTTATTGTTTCTCGGAAAATATTATTGTCAAAAATTTTTTCTCATCAATATTCTTTGCATTCATTGTCCCTTAAGAATGTTAATAAAAGATTCTCAATGTGGAAAAGTACGAAACTTCATTAGTAAATCGACTTTTCTCAACTTTTGAAGAATAACTCTTTTCTTCGTTTCACCATTGACCACTTTAAAACATGTACCAGCAAAATAAACCATTTTTAAAATATTTTTCTCATTGAAAAAAATTTGAAATGAGAGTAAAATCTTTATTAATAAAATAAAGTGGAGCCTAGGTGAACGAATGTTTATATTCGCTTGCTACGAAATGGCGTCGACTCCAACAAGGTCATGCTAAAGCAGGTTACTGGTAGAGAAAGAAGTTAGGTTGTTGTTGCTTCTTTTATTGTGCAAAAATTGGTAAACCCATTTTTTACCTTAGAACGGGCGCGCATCTTTCTTCTTTTGCGCTTGAGACGTCTAGTCCTTTTTTTCTTCCACTTGGCTCTCATTATTACACAAAATGTCTGTTCTCGAGATAAATATCATAAGTATTATGTTAATCCGAACAAATGAAGAGAAATGAATATGCAAAAGTCGATGGATGGTTCGATATGTTACCTACGCAGATTGATAGAAACAAGAGTGAGAAGGATTAATCAAATATTTCTAAAGAAATTTTATGATTTCCAATATGCGAAATTTTATTGGTTCAATTATTTTTATCTCCAAATTCCCGATGCTCCGACCCGATTTCCGGGTAATGATCACAAACGTTTAGTTACTGGTGACTGGTTAAAATCTTTCCTGGTAAACAACATTAAGCTTATAGATCCTATCGTGTTCGTTGTGTCACAACCTAAATCGACGTGAACGTGACAAAGAAAAAATTCGGTACGTGTACGTAATCGGTTTGATGATCCACATTTTATTGATCCCGATTTTACTGTTATCAGAGTTGCTTTGCACGTCGTAGGACAACTGACAAAAAGTTCTTCTTTTGTTTAACGCGAAATTTAAAAAATAACGAAAACAAAGTTCGTTCCGCCAGGCAATCTTTACCTACAACTGGAAATTTTTAATTTTAACCGTATTTTGCACGATCCTATCAAATAATTTGTGGAGTATAAAGTAAACATAAGTTCCGTTTTAGACGTTCTATACTTTGTCCTGACAACAGATCAGCATTTTATCATTATTATATTTCACAATTAAAAAAAAAAAAATTTTTTTTTTTTATTTCTATTTCACAGTTGTGCTCTTTACGATGCTTAGCATTGGAGAACTTCTTGCCAACACACTCTCTGGCGGTAGGTTATTCCCATTCTCAAACTTGTATCACGTCGTTAACTTTTCAGGTTGCGAAGCGAGCGGCAAACTGCGGCTATGCATCTGTACAAAATACTGAGATTGCTAACGTGCTTTTCTACCACTGACCATTTTCTTTTTAAGACCAGCAACTTCGGGAAGATGCTTCCAGGCAACTCGAGCAAGCGCAACAAAGCAACTACGTAACTTTTGTTTTTCCAATTTATTTGCAATCAAAAGAACATAACGCGTCGATTCCCTTCTCTTTTAATAATTATATTCTTTATAATCATAATGTTTAATATCATGAAAATTAGCCGGTTTATGTGAGCATGCTCTGCACAGAGCTTCACAACGAGCAAGCTGCATCATATATCAGAAATTCGGCGGGCTTAGCTCTAAAAAATTCATTAATCTCTTCGGTAAGTAATTTTTTTATAGAACGTTCAATGTCGTGATTATTGATAAATAATTTACTTAAAATAAAATATTGATATCCTCAATTAGGAGGCTTCGAGGAGAAATGAAATTACGCAACGGTGGTTGAATATGGACGAGGAAACCAGGCAACAAATTAAACAAATGGTTGTCATCATAACCTTTCTATCCGTGTTTCATTTTGACACTTTATCTTTATGCGATTATTAAACGGCTTTATGTTCAAATAAGGTTTTAACAACTTTGGGATCAAGTGACCAGAGGGCTGCTGCCACCGCTGCTCAAGTACGTGTTCTCGTTATCGGGGCGCATTATTTTGGGTCTTTAATACCTTCTTTCTACTTATCATCGCTCATTCATGTATTATATAGGTTGTTTCGGCAATTTCTGCCATTGAACTTCCTGCGGGACAATGGACTGATTTGATGAAAAACCTGTTGGAGAACGTTACCACGACTGATAACAGTCAGCTTAAGATATCGACGTTGATGGCTATTGGTTTCGTCTGCGAATCAATTGTAAGCGGAGAATCTTAATTATAAATTCTTATCCAATCTCGCTAACCATTAATAATATGTTCTCGGTTTATTAAGGATTCGGAAATTCTGGCAGCTCAATCAGGTGCAATTCTTACCGCTGTTGTGTCGGGAGCAAGGAAAGAAGAGCCCAAGTAGGTTTATATAGTTACATTGAAACTTCTTCTCATTTAGGTTTCAAATATTAACTACTCTTTTTTTGAATATAAAGTCAAGAAGTAAGAAAGGCGGCGATTGATGCTTTGTACAATTCTCTGGAATTTATTCGTGAAAACTTTGATAGAGAGGTTGGTTCCAGTCTATATATATTCAATGTCAAGAATAACAAATCATGATCCTGATCTACTATTGATAACTTTATCAGGGAGAACGTAATTACATTATGCAAGTTGTATGTGAGGCTACCCAGAGCTCTGATGTTAACGTACAGGTTGCTGCATTTGAATGTTTGGTCAGAATAATGCAAATCTATTATGATAAAATGAGGTTTTACATGGAAAAAGCTTTATTTGGCGTAATTATCATGTCATTTATGTCTTGATTGACACATAAAGGTGACTTTTCATATTAACGAGTTTGAAAATTAAAGTTAACGGTCCTTGGCATGAAACACGAGGACGAGAGAGTGGCGTTGCAAGCTGTTGAATTTTGGTCGACTGTTTGTGACGAAGAGCTTGAGTTAATGAGCGAAGCGGCGGAGGTATGGGTCTTTGTTTAATGAACGATAATTGGGAAAATATTTGCCGTACATATTATTTTTTAAATGAAGGCACAAGAAACCGGGGAGCAGCCTGACCGCTTAAGTCATAATTTCGCAAAAGCCGCCTTGCCAGAAATACTACCCGTTTTGCTCTGGCTTCTCACCAAACAAGTATGTGAATATTTCATCGAATTCGCGAGTAACGAGAGTTTGGACCAATCAACTTTTTCATCACTTATTAGGATGAGGAAGCAGATGAAGATGACTGGAATGTTTCAATGGCTGCGGGTACTTGTTTGGCTCTTTTGGCGCAATGTGTTGAGGATGCTGTTGTTGCGCCAGTGATTCCGTTTGTGGAGAATCATATCCGCCACAATGATTGGAGGTTCAGAGAAGCTGCTGTCATGGCCTTCGGTTCAATTTTGGAAGGCCCTGAGCACAAGTTATTGGCGGGCCTGGTGAACCAAGCTTTGCCTGTATTGATAGAAATGATGCGCGATCCATCCCCACAAGTAAAAGATACTACAGCTTGGACTCTCGGCCGTGTTTCGGAATTACTGATTGAATGCATTAAACCAGATGTTCATCTTCGTCCCCTTATAACCGCGCTTGTATATGGATTGAAAGATTCTCCACGTATTGTTTCCAATTGCTGTTGGGTAATTATTTGATTTCTTTGCTCGGCGGCAATAGTTTTGATGATACCATTATGTGAGCTTCAAATTTTATATATAGGCTTTGATGAGTTTATCCGATCAATTCGGTAGCAAAGAAATTTCTCAGTCTGCGTACCATCTATCTCCTTACTTTGAAGGTATTATCACAGCTTTGTTGGAGACAACTGAGAGGTAATTCTTACGCATTACCTGATCGATCTTTCTCCCTCATACTTTATAATCGTTATCAAAACCTACTTTTGATTTTTCTAAAGGTCGACCAATGAGTCTAATTCGCGAACGTCGTCTTACGAGTGCATTTCTATTCTTGTACAAGGCGCTGCATTGGTAATTGTTGACGGAAATTATTTATTTTTTCACTCCACATTACTAAGCTATTTTCTTTTTCTTATCGCCGAATCATAATAGGACTGCTTCCCAACCATTCAAAAATTAACTGTTACCATTCTTGATAGACTCGAAGCCACCATTCAGGCCCAAGTATTGTTATTAATCTTTCTAAATTGGTGTACCTCGTAATAAAATTCACTGAGTTCATGAAACCCCTTGTTAATCTTAGAACCAAATAGTGGGAAGCGATGAACGTCTGGCTCACTCCGAACTTCAATCGAATCTTTGTAGCGTCTTGACAGTACGAGTTTCACCGTCATTTATATTCACATGCATTTATCCTGTTAAATGTACTAATATATCGCAAATATTAGAGCATCATACGCAAGTTAAGGACGGAAGTCAGTCCTTTCGCCGATCGAATAATGACCGTATTGCTGTCCTTGTTCACCACCGCGACAAAACATTCTACTACTCTTGAAGATGGATTCCTGGCCGTGGGAGCCGTCACAACTGGTTTGTTCTATAACATCATATTCAGTCTTTGTTCATTTCAAAAATTAAATATTTATTTCTCTAGCTATGGAGGCTGACTTTGTTCGATATCTCGAGGCATTCGCACCATTCCTTTATGCAGCACTGTCGAATCACGAGGAATATCAACTTTGTTCAATTGCGGTCGGGCTAATCGGTGACATATGTCGCGCTCTTCAGGAACAATCTTTGCCATACTGTGACACGTTCATGAACGTTCTATTGCAAAATCTTCAGGTCTATAAGTTATTACTGGTTTTGTTGATTTATATAACTAAGCAATACTTATAGTCTTTTTGGAATTCCTTCCTTCAGAGTCCTGTATTGAACCGAAGCGTAAAGCCTGCAATCTTGTCATGCTTTGGGGACATCGCTCTCGCCATAAGCGGACGATTTGAGGTATATTTGGAAGTGGTGATGATGGTCCTCGCTCAAGCAAGTAACATGCGTGCTACAGACGGTGTATGTAGTTTATTCTCCACCTGTTTATTCTATATTCATTGGCATTAAATAGGCTGTTGCACTCCCTTTTTTAGACTAATTACGATATGATAGATTATGTCATTGCGTTGAGAGAAGGCATACTGGAGGCATATGTTGGCATTGTGCAAGGTTTAAAAACAGGGGAAAAAGGTCAGCCATATGATTGAATGCCACTTTATGCATAGATGAACTGTAAAATAATACCTATTTGTTTTTTTCTCAGCCGACTTGCTTTTGCGATACATCGAGCAAATTTTCAGCTTCCTTAATATGACCTGGAATGATCATGAAAAGACTGAGATTATTATTCGTAGCATGATTGGCCTCATCGGGTTTGTGAAAGATATTATCGCTTTTAATGCTAAATTATGTCTATCGTTAAACTCTGTTTAAAACTTAGTGACTTAGCGGAAGCTTTCCCGAATGGTCAGATCAAACAATGGTTCCAGTATGATTGTGTTACGCAGGTGTTAAAAGAAGGTCGAAACAATAGGTCTTTACCAAATGGAACAAGAGAAGTCACGCGATGGGCTCGAGAGGTATGTTCGACAATTTATATCCTATTTATATCTGTAATAATCGCACTTACATTGTATCATTATTTAGATGGTCAAGCGAGCAACCCAGTAAGGTCGCATTATTCAAATATTGTGAACATTGCACCACCTCTTACCTCATATCATCATGGAAGTGAATCCCTGCAGAACATTCGGGTCGATTCTATCATGGCCATCTTGCATGATGGATCAGGATGATCCACCAACTTCCTTCCAATACTCTCTACTGTTATTTTCTTACAAACCCATTTTCAGATCCACTACCCCTTTTATTAACCTCTTTAGAACATTTGATCAATTTCTTCACCCCCATTTTCACTAAGCCGTTTTTCGGAATTGGCTGTCCCTTTTTATTTTCCCTCTTTTATTATTATTGATTTTACATAATTGATGCTTCTACACTTGTAAAACTTCTGATAATATGGATTTAGAGACTATTTGAACATAAAGTATGCATAACTTTCTTCACTTCTTACACTCTTCTTTATTTTTGATGTATTTTCACTTCATTTATTCGTTTCTTTTTCAACCTTGCTTTTGTATTTCCATAAGAATAAAA